ATATATATACATATATATATGTATATATATATATATATATATATACAAACATATATACATATATGTTTATATATATACATACATATATACATATATATATATATATATATATATACAATTTCTTTATTTCAGGGTCAAAATACAATTTATTTTAAACTTAACTAATGAAATTATAGTCAATACAGTCATAAGTAGGTTGAAAACAGGAACTGATTGTTAACTAAGAAGCAGTACCCTGATGTCCCCATTGTTGAAGGATTTCAATAGTTAATGTTTTTAGTTTGAGTGTTTTTCTGGACTGGAATTGAACAGGGAACATAAGTAACCTTAATATTTTTAGACATAGTTTTATTTATTTTTTCTTGTCTGATGTAACGCAAAGTGACAGATTCTGGTGAATGGAGGAAGACATTTTATAATAATAATAATAATAATAATAATAATAATAATAATGTGTGTGTCTTGTCATCATTGTATGTTCCCATACAATGGTGAAATTGGCTCTCCACATTTAACCCATCCACCACCAGTGGGCAGCTATTGAAAGCGCCGGGGAACAATTGGGGATGGGGTGTCCTGCTCAGAGACACCACGAGATGTGCAATGACTGGGGATCGAACCTGGGATTTCCGGGTCCTGAGTCAGCTGCCTTGCCTCTACCCCATTATTCCTCACCAGGTACAGTGGTGAAACCATGGGGAGCCATGGGTGGCCATGATCACCACAGATTAATCTTCAGCTACACAAATGGCCACCATAATCATTTGAGGAAACTTTACTTTTAAGCATAAAAACTAAAAAGCATAATTTCTTCAAATGATTGGGTGGCCAGTTTACCTTTATAGTGGTGGCAATCTTGGATTTTGAACATGGCAACCAAATTTTCAATTGCGACCTTTCTAGATGTAGCCACACATCAAGATGAAGTTGGTACCTCATTTATTTTTCGTTATCATGCCTATAACATGCACGGATGAAATGGACAAAAGGACAGAATGGACGGACAGTTGGAGGGTAATTTCAATTCTCCATTTTTGCTCCACGATGGGCACAATGAAAAAGTTCTGTGGTGCTTTGATAATAGCTTTTTTAGTCCTGTGAATTTACTTATCACGTTGTTTTTTAAATGAGGTCTCTGGTTCTCTACATGTCTGGATTTATGATTAATTGATTATCATAAATAAATCAGAGGCTAACAAACAAACAAACATGCAAAGACAATAT